CTTCTTTGGGAAATGCAGGTCGTGAAAAAGGTGATTGATCCTAGGGCAACAATTGAGTTTAAACCAAACACGGCTGATGATCCTCATAAGAGGAAGCCAGACATCAGTAGAGCAAAAGAACTTTTGAATTGGGAGCCAAAAATCGCCCTCCATGATGGTCTTCCCCTCATGGTCAATGATTTCCGGAATCGCATCTTGAACGAAGAGGAAGGAAAAGGAAACTAGTATGTGTGAAACTGCATGTATAGAAAAAGAAGCATACTCTAATTTTTCGTGCTTATTTCTTTGTCTAGTAGTTCATATATTCATTGCTCCTTCCCTCACACGTCATCACTCCAACAACTATAGTGCCTCTACAGGATTAGGAATAAGTGTGTATTGTTTTGATGTTGCTTTAAATTCAAATTTTTATACCCTTGAAATTGAATTGGGTCCTCGTGTTTATTGACTAGTCTATACAAACCATTGGTTAAACTGTTCAAGCTTGTCTTTGATATTTGGTTCTCCTTTTATATGTACTAGTATCAAAGATGTGCATTGTATGTGGCCATGTGGGTAGCAGCCTAGCAGGTGATGAGGTGGAAATTACGCAGATAATGTCATGTGTTGTACTGTTGCACAGTTGTATTTAATGTGAAATCCAGCTATATTTTGCGTTAGCGAGTTAATATATTTGTATTTTTTTTTTATCAACGTCTCAAATGTCTATTCTGATAGTGGTGTTTCCTCTCATAGAAATGGAATTTCTTCCTCCAAAATCCAAATCTCCAATACAAGATTAAGAGCATCTCCAATGGGGATGTCTACTCTCTTCCACATTCTTACACACGGGTCCCATTTTTTATCTCACAAATTTTATGTGTAGGACCTACATATCTCCACATTTATTTTGTTTTTCATTTTTCTATATCACTTTTAACCCACTTTTCATCCACTTTTACTCCTCGATTCCCGTGTAAAGTCTATTTGTGGACATTGTCATACACATTGTCTACAATTTACTCCTATCTCTCTTTTCCTTTTCATTTTTCATACACACCACTTTCTCCATATTAAATTAAAATAATCATTATATCTCTATCTCTCTCCTATGCCACGTAGGATAGACTTTACTCCAATCCACTGCCCCATTGGAGATGCTCTAATCACCATATCAGCTCCACATGTTACAGTTGAAATAGTTATTTTGTTTTGAGATAGATATACAGTAAAGTGAGTAAACAGACACAGGGCAACAATGTTTCCCCCTGCTTTTCTTCGTAAGTGGGACATACTCTTCGCTTAGTAATCTTCCATTGCTTTAAATCTCTATCCTTAGGCTTATGTCTGGCTTGCATTTATGATGTTAGCGTGAGGAGAAATGATGTCAGCACAATACGTAATGATGCTACGCATTGTTATCTTTGTTGATACTCTAATTGATGATATAGATGAAACTTCATGTCAGGCCGGCCTGACGGGCTGCCCCGTCCGGCCGAGCCCGTTTGGGCACCTTCCCGGTGGAATTTGTTGATGAAATTTTTTGAGCATGTTCCTCATCAAGTCTAGTTTGTCCATACCAAATTTCAGCTCAAAATTCAATCGGGAAGGTCGTCAAATGATTTTTGCAAGTTAACTGGTCCGGAAAATACATATTCCAGACCAGTTAAGTTGCAAAAATCATTTGACGACCTTCCCGATCGAATTTTGAGCTGAAATTTGGTATGGACAAACTAGACTTGATGAGGAACATGCTAAAAAAATTTCATCAAAAAATTCCACCGGGAAGGTGCCCAAATGGGCTCGGCCGGACGGAGCATCCCGTCAGGCCGGCCTGATGAGAAGAGCACTCTACTCTAATTTTTGGCTAACTATAACATAAATCCGATGGTGAGGGCAATGAGCGGTATCCTTATAAGCCTTCATAGATATAATATGTAGATTGGTGGTGGCAAGGCTGGACGGTGCCTGGACCAACGGCAAAAGCAAAGAGAGGAAATTTGCTGGTGAGGGGAGGAGCTCGATCGAATAGTGTCACACAATAGAGGAGTGTTCAGTGCCTCAACGATGAGTTATGGATGTCTTCATCGTTGGGTCGGGATATGCTGATCGAGAGCAGATGAATTTTATCCCAGCGTCCGATATTGATGAAACCTTCTTGCAACACTAGTCTAACAGTAGACCGCGATCTCCATATATACTTTGTTCTTGATTCGAATGCTACCTATGGGATGTATGTATCAGGAACTCTTCCGCCTGGTTTTTTGCAAGCAAATGTTCTTAATACTACGTAGTTAACAGTGACAGAAGGGCAGCGAAGCATTCTTTTCGTTTTTTAGAAATATAGAGGACTTATAAAGCCTTTCTCATCCATACACGTTCAAAGCAAGTCTTTTTTAGAATCCTCAATTCTGCATTTAAGTCAAATCAAGAATTATTGAGCACTGTTTATTTCACTACACGCGGATGGTTTAATTGACAACAAAATTCCATATGTAGACATCAATCTAGAGCATTTTGTGACTTCATAGCAGGGTACGAGAATTCACGTACAACCCGTCTTTCTTTTGATGCTAACCCATTCAAAAGTTTCATATGTGCTTTGGATGTGGGTACTTGGGTAGCACAACACCACTATTATTCCCCAAGGATGGCATGGAGAAGGATTTTATTGGATCAACAAAATTATTTAAAATATATTTCGTGGTTTATGTCTCATCGATTATGCAAAATATGCTAACGAGAGTTCCTAATCTATGTGTTCCCAACTTTTTATTAATTTTTTTTACTTGTACTTTTATTGATGAAGTAGAGAGTTCTATTAAGGATACTGATAGGGCCATTGGACGCACAAGGAGGTCCAACCCATGTTACTTGGACCCGGATACATTTATCAACCAATTATCTCTTTTGATGGCCCAAGAAGAGTAGAACCTGCAGCCTGCAGGAGACTTATTATCATTTTCTAATATTATTATTACCTTATTATTTGGAGCAGTTGTTTTACTTGTTTATAGTTTTAGGTGATTGCTTCGTGGGATACAGACCACTCAGCCCGTAGGAGTACACTTCCTTATGTATTTTCAATATTAAATAGTTTGGCATGAATGTAATGAAGGCAAGAAAAAATACAGACCATCTTCTTTCTGGCCATTCTATTTGCTTTCTGAAACTTGCTTCTTATTCACTGAATTTGGGTTTATTCACTGATCTTGGGTTTATCAATTGGTATCAGAACCGATGGATACCCGTGGAAAATCTAACGCTGAATTTCGGAATGAAGTTAATGAAACTCTAGATCGATGTGAGTCTCTTTTGGATCAACTCACAGCAGCCCTACAGACAGTGACGGTCGAGTTACAAGCAGTGAGCCGGCGCCTCAATCGCGATTCCTCGGCCATGGATATTAGCCACTTTGCAAATCGAAGAAACCGGCCGCCTCACTCCCTGGGTGGTGACCCTACCGGGTGGATATACCAAGTGGAGCAATATTTCAAGTTCTATGGTGTGACTCCTGAATGACAACTTGGCTTAGCCGCCATGAATTTGGAAGGATTGGCACTACAATTGTAATGCCCCGAAAATTTGAAGAATATTTCAAATCATCTTTTATATTGTTCGGAAGGTTTCTAGATAGTTAATTATGTTTAGTTTAGTGTTTGGGATCAAAGGAGGGTCCAAACGGGGAAGAAACGGAGTAAAGATTGAATTTGGGGTGTTCGGAAGGTCCGCGGGGTGTGCGAGGAGGTCCGCGGGGCGTGCGGGGAGGTCCGCGGGGCGTGCGGGGAGGTCCGCGGGGCGTGTGGTTCAGAACATAGCTGCAGGAGTGCCCGCGTGGTGGTACCGCGTGGATCCGCACGCCGTGCGCGTCAGAACATGGCTGCAGGAGTGTCCGCGTGAAGGTACCGTGCAGGGGCCGCAGAGTGTGCGGGTGGCCGCTTAAAATGGACGAATTTCGGCAAAACGTCTCCCGCACGGCGTGCGGGTTAGGCCGCACGGTGTGCGGGTTCAATTTATCCTTATTCACTATAAATACATCCCTAATCCTATTTTCCTCGTTCCAAAAACACTAGGATCGCCTCTTCAAGCTCTATCTCCTCCAGACCTTTCATATTAACATATCCACCACGAGTTTTGAGGCAAAGGACGAAATCATTCCGGTACGTGCGTTTGTTGCCTAATTCGTGCCATTTATACGTTTTCTTGATTTCTTTCTCCTAAATTGTGATCCTTCGACCCTATAACTACCTAGGTACGTGTGAGTGACTCCTCAAGCAAGGTTTGACATTTAGGATTCGTTGCTAGCCTCGAGGTAAGGACTATTTCAACCAAAACTACTATTTTGCCCCTATTATGTATTAATTAGGGTTTGTGCTATGATTTGAATTTCTTGCTGAAAATTTATGTATATTCAGGCTATTATAGTTTGGATATAATGATGTGTGATTTTCTGGGAATTTTTGAAAATGTGATTTATGGTGAATTTATCAAATCAGTTTGCTTTGACCAAAATTGTGATTTTTGGGAAATAATTAATTTGGATTGGAAAATTGTGGAGATTTTTTTGGCGTGAATTGAGCTATGTTATGAACATCTTTAGTACCATATTTTGAGGATATATTCTGGGTTTGGATTACCCTAATTGGTTTGGTTTGGTGGTGGTATACAAAGCTATTTTGGGAAAGTGTACGTTGTATCACTTCTTTTGCCAAAATTGTAATCAATGATTTCTGAGTACTTGGAGGACCCGGGAGTAATCTGTGGTGTTCGGATCTACATCCGGTTAAATGTAGAACTGTGGTCTAGGGTAGTGCTATTATTATCTGGTGGATGGTTTCTTTGATGGTTTTGGATACTTGGATATTATTATTATTGGTTTCGGCTTTTGTGATAGTAGTAGCACCTAGTCCACTTTTATCTTTTTCTTGGGTAGTTGGTAGTGTCACGCCCCGGACCTCCCCGGACACGTCAACAACCCGCCGTACAATACGAATAGTCAACCGCAGTCCAACACATTCATATTATACAAGGCGTCATGAATATCATTCACACATAAGTCATCCATAAACAACATAATAAGTAATTCATAAAGCAGCGGAAAACATTGTTTAAAACAAAAGGGCCACACAGGGCTATTCATGAGCACGCAGGCTCTATAATAAAATATCCATGAGCATGTTTATTAATGTTTAAAATCCGAATGGAGGAAGCACGAACCAAGTCTTCGCTCCTAGATGATCTCTCGAGCAACGAGCACAGGAAGCAAGCTCTAGCCTCAACCTGAAAAATGGTGGTGGGACGCCCCCGAAGGGGTCAGCACTCTATACGGCTATAAAGTGCTGGTGTGGCAGGCATCTAATAGATATACAACAAGTATTTCAAACACAAGACCCTCAAATAGGGTGATAGTACATTATGATTGTAACCCAAAGTTACCCTGTTTAAAAATATACTTACCTTATATAAAAGTCAAGTAGACGGCCCGTGGGCCCATGTTCATTTGGAAATCACCATTCCCAACCCCGTGACTATAAGCCACGACAACTCCTAGAGTCCAACCCTAGTACATGACATTGTATTCTAGAGCTCGGCTCTACCACATCACCATACAATTCATATACCTCGGGTCAATTTCCCTACCTTGCGTTCTAGAGCTCGGCTCTATCACATCACCACGCAAGTCCTAGAGCTCGGCTCTAGCTATACAATACATAGACTCCAAGTCTACACCTTACATGCATTCTAGAGCTCGGCTCTATCACATCACCATGCATTAAGGTCCAATTCTCAAGCAACCCTATGCCTAGAATTAACATATCATTAAACTACCATGGGTCATCCTTAAAGACTTCCCATAACTCAACCTTAGTTCCATACTAAGTATTATATACACTTGAACTATATTCAAGTACCTTTCATACAATCCAATCCCTAGGATCAATTTAATCAACAAGTCCCAATAATCACTAACTAGTATTTCAATACTATTAAGATTATTGTTATCATACCATTATCCTCATTATTTGTAATTCTCTACATATTTATAATTACGTAGCAGCAACTTAAGTATTTAATCTCAATACACAAATATTCATTTATGTATCCACATAATTCATACATGAGTAAAATACCCATTTTCACAAAATGGTTCTTTTATACTCATTTAATCTCATATTATTCATACCTTCTCAAATCATTTCAAATTTCATTCTTTGGCAACTATATCAATATTTCATCAATATATAATCATCATAATCCATGAAAAATCATGATTTAAGCATTTAGGTAATCTCATGCTTAACCTACAAGTTGTAAGCAATTAGATGTCAATCCTCACCTCAATTGAGCTTTAAACTTTCCCTTCTTGGTCCAATGGTCAAATCTTTGGTCAAGGTGGATTTGGGACTGATTCCTTGCTCAAATATGAGTGTTAAACAGCCTCCTCAAAGTGCTAGTTCAACCCTTAATCGTTGATACGAAAACAGCCCCTAGAACGGGTGTTTTCCGGCTAACTCGATTCCTAGTTTTCCAATATTTGCATCTAGGTTAGTATCTAACCTTTACATCAATAAGATAACTTTTTAGGGACATATTATACACTTGGATTAGTGTATAATAGTCTCACCAATCGTTCATATCATTTGGAGAATGAAAAGTAAAGCTTTGGGGTTAAAACTCACTTTAGAAGATTAAATCCTCTCCTGCGAGGTTGTGTTTTGCTCGGACGATTTGGAAGCCTTCCACAACTCCGATTCCTGCAAACCAGACCTTCACGGATTCCTCGTCTTGAGAGCTTTCTGTGGGTATCTCACACGCCTTAATTGGACTTGTAAAACTCGAGATATCGACCAAACAGTCTCAGCACTCTCACAGCTCGAGTTCACAGACCTTTGCTCGTTCCAGCTCGATTTTTGCAAGATAAGCCTTCTCTCCTCGAACAAAGACCACTCAATTGAGATAATAGACTTCAAAGGCTATCCAAGGACACCTCATACACGTTATTTGGTTGAGGATAGCTCCTATAATGAGAGGAGACAAACAGCACACCAATTTGTGCGAAAATAAGAGTGGTGGCCCCAAACTTTGATTCTTATCAAGTCATGTGCAGCTCTTCTCCATAATGGCCGGCCAAGGTAAGTCTCCTAGCCCATTTTTATTTGTTTTGCAGGTACTAATACCATGTGGAGTGGTTCCCAATTGATCCCATTAAATTTGGGGTCCAAAATATCTACCAATACTTCCAAAAATTGGGAAAATGGGTCCTATTGTTTTATCTTTGTCAAAGATGTCTTTTTGTACTCATCCTAATTTATTTAGAACAAGTCAACTTCCTAAATCACATTATTGATCTCCACTATGTGTAGGCTCATCCCAATAATTTACACGATGAAAATTACAAAAGAATGCGGGTTTGAACAATACAATATTCAATCATGTACTTCGTAAAATATTAATCGTTTCTCCCCTTGTTTTGAAATTGGGAATTCAATACATCACTTTTGAATTTTTAAATCGAATTTTCAAGGACGTTCGGGTGCGGTGTCACAAGTTCACCCCCCCTTAACAGGAATTTCGTCCCCGAAATTCACAGCTCTACTCGAATAGGAAAGCATACTGCTTCCTCATCAAAGCCTCCGTTTCCCATGTCTCTTCCTCGACCCGATCGCTCTTCCACAGGACTTTAACCATTGGGACTTCTTTGCTCCTCAGCTTCTTCACCTTTCTATCGGTGACCTTGATAGGTTGAACAGCGTAGTTCAAATCCTCACGTACCTCTACAGGTGGCTTCTCTAGTACGTGAGAGGGATCATGCACATACTTCTTAAGCATGGATACATGAAACACATTATGTATCTTCTCTAACTCAGGAGTCAACTGTAGACGATATGCAACGGCCCCAATCCTCTCTATAATTCTGAATGGACCTATATATCGTGGGTTAAGTTTTCCTCGGGTTTGGAACCGAATGATCCCTTTCCAAGGAGAAACTTTCAAGAATACCTCGTCATCAACCTTAAACTCTAAGGTTCTTCGACGCTTATCTGCATAACTCTTTTGTCTATCCTGAGCCGCCTTGAGTCTCTCTCGAATCAACTTCACCTTTGATTTGGTGACCTCAACCAACTCAGTACCCTCGAGTTTGGCCATGCCAACCTCGTCCCAGCATAACGGTGTACGGCACCTCCTCCCATACAATGCCTCGTATGGAGGCATGCCGATGCTTGCCTGATAACTGTTGTTATAGGCAAACTCCACAAGTGCTAAGTGGTTGTCCCAACTTCCCTGGAACTCCAATGCACAAGCCCTCAGCATGTCTTCTAGGATCTGAATAACCCTTTCAGACTGCCCATCCGTCTGTGGATGGAAAGCAGTGCTGAACTTCAACTTCGTTCCCATAGACTCCTGGAATTTCGGCCAAAAACGTGATGTGAATCGTGGGTCTCTATCAGATACAATGGTCACCGGGACCCCATGCAGCCTCACGATCTCATCCGTATACAATTTGGCTAACCTCTCAAGTGGGTAGGTAGTGTTGATAGGCAAGAAGTGTGCACTCTTTGTGAGCCTATCCACAACGACCCAAACCGCGTCATAGTTCCTGATAGTCCGTGGTAAGCCTACCACGAAATCCATAGTCACGTGCTCCCACTTCCATTCAGGGATGGAGAGTGGTTGCAATAAGCCTGCTGGGTGCTGATGTTCTGCCTTAACTTGTTGACAAGTAAGGCACCGACTGATGTACTCGGCTATTTCCCTCTTCATTCCAGACCACCAGTAACTTTCCTTCAAATCACGGTACATTTTCGTGCCCCCCGGGTGCATGGCATAAGCCGATGAATGAGCCTCCTCTAAGATGGACTTTCGGAGCTCATCATCTGACGGTACACACACTCGGTCACGAAATAACAAGAGACCATCATCTCTTTCCCTGAAATCCTCCACCGGCCCCGCTTGCATGCGTTCCCGGACCTTCATAAGTTCTTCGTCGGCTTCCTGACCCTTCTTGATCTCATCAAGTAAAGTGGGTCTCACCTCAAATCGTGCCAATAAGGCACCATCGCTGGTTACCTCCAGTTGGGCTCTTAATGCCCTCAAATTAGTTATCAATGCCCCAGACGAGCTCTTCCGGCTCAAAGCATCTGCCACCACGTTTGCCTTGCCTGGGTGATACTCTATCACCAGATGGTAGTCTTTTATCAGCTCCATCCACCGTCTCTGTCTCATGTTTAGCTCTTTCTGAGTAAACACGTACTTCAAGCTCTTGTGATCAGTGTATATGTGACATGTCTCCCCGTAGAGATAATGTCTCCATATCTTCAGTGCAAATACCACTGCCCCGAGCTCCAAATCATGAGTAGGATAATTCACCTCATGCTTCTTCAATTGTCGTGAAGCATAGGCGATTACCCTCCCATTCTGCATCAGTACACATCCGAGCCCTTGAATGCTCGCATCGCTATAGACATCGTACCCCACACCTTGTTTGGGTAATGCAAGTACCGGTGCCTCAGTCAATCTCTTCTTTAGTTCCATGAACCCTTTCTCACATTTGTCATCCCATACAAACTTAGCTCCTTTACGAGTGAGCTTCGTCAATGGCGATGCCAAAACAGAGAACTTTTCCACGAACTTTCTATAGTAGCCTGCCAATCCAAGGAAACTACGAATTTCCTTGACGTTCTTTGGCCTCTCCCATTCAGTGATGGCTTCTATCTTCTTGTTATCAACAGCAATCCCCGATCCCGAAACCACGTGCCCGAGGAAGCCAATCTCCTTTAGCCAAAATTCACATTTAGAAAATTTGGCATAGAGTTGCTTCTCCCGTAGTGTTTCAAGAACAAGTATCAAGTGCTCCTCATGCTCTTCTTCACTCTTTGAGTAAATCAAGATGTCATCTATGAACACAATCACGAATCGATCCAAGTATTTATGAAATACTCGGTTCATCAAGTCCATGAATGCCGCCGGGGCGTTTGTTAACCCAAACGACATAACAAGGAACTCAAAATGCCCATACCTTGTGCGGAAAGCACTCTTTGGTATGTCATCTTCCTTAATCTTCAATTGATGGTACCCCGACCTTAAGTCAATCTTCGAAAACACGGTTGCTCCTCGTAGTTGATCAAACAAGTCATCAATCCTAGGCAACGGATACCTATTCTTGATTGTGACCTTGTTCAGTTGACGATAGTCAATGCACATTCGAAGTGTCCCATCTTTCTTTTTCACAAAAAGAACCGGTGCTCCCCACGGGGAGTGGCTTGGTCTAATGAAACCGTTATCCAAAAGCTCTTGCAATTGGGTTTTTAACTCGTTAAGTTCAGCGGGTGCCATCCGGTATGGCGGTATGGAGATTGGTTTGGTACCAGGCTCGACCTCGATCACAAATTCAATCTCCCTGTCAGGTGGAAGCCCCGGTAGGTCTTTAGGGAAGACATCCGGATACTTACAAACCACCCTCACATCATCGATGTTCGTTCCCTCTTTGGTTTTGTCAACCACGTATGCTACATATGCGTGGCGTCCCTTCCTCATCATATTTCTCGCTCTCACGGCGGATATGATACAACTATTTGATTTGCCGCGGTCCCCCTCGAAGCGTAGGGTGTCCCCATGCGTGCCTTCGAGTTCCAACACCTTTGTGTAGCAATCTACCCTAGCATGATGCTTTTCTAGCCAATCCATCCCTAGGATTGCATCGAACTCCATCATACTCAGCGGTACGAAATCACACGTCAAGGTTTGGCCACCGATTTCCACCATACAAGATGGATAGTAATTGTTTCTTTCAACGTCTTCCCCTAGTGGGGTTGATACCACTAAGGTTTGTGTCATTGGTATTGATTGCATCTCTAAGCTCTCGGCAAACGCCTCACTCACGAATGAACGTTGCGCTCCGGTATCGATAAGGATTCGTGCATCCTTCCCGTTAATCTTTAGTGTCCCTACATTCATGAACCATGTAAGACACCTTTTTTTTTATGGTTTAGGACACTTTTTGGAGGTTAATAGGTTCATATAGATGTTCGGAATCAAACGGGGGTCCAATCGTAGAAGAACGAGATGAAAAACTTAGGTTTCGGGCGGCTGGGGTCCACGCACGGTCGTGCGTGGGGCACGCACGGTCGTGCGTGCATGGAAAAATTCGCTTCCGGCTACTGCCGGTTACGCACGGTCGTGCGTACCCGGACACGCACGATCGTGCGTCCACGCACGGCGTGCGTACCGGCACGCACGGTCGTGCGTCCTGCGCGAACATCACCCGGAACCACTGCCCCCTACGCACGATCGTGCGTGGGGTTGGACGCACGATCGTGCGTCCCTGTTTTTGGTCAGTTTTGGCCCGAATTTCGCCGTTTGACCCCGAAATGGCTCGCACTCAATCCCTATGACTTATGTCATCAATTTATGGATTAAATATGGACAAAATACAATTGTGCAAGAGGCAATACCTGCAACCGAGTCCGGGTTAGCTCGAGCATCCGCCTCCGTCATCGCATAAACTCTAGCTTGAGTTCTTCCTTGATTCACGGATGGCGCGTTGCTCGTACTCGCTCCCCCATGTCCCCGGCTCGCTTGAGAAGCTCCGGTTTGATTCCATGTACCCGTCGGGCCACTGCTCGGTCCCGATGTCCTTGTCCCACCCAATTGTGGGCAATGCGCCTTCAAATGCCCGGCATCCCCACATTGAAAACATCTAGGGGGGTCGCGACATTTACCGGAGTGGTTCCTCTTGCAATTGTTGCAACGAGTTACCACCGAGGTTTGTGACCTCGAGCCTTGCCCACTCGGGCCTTGATTCCCCCTAGACGGTGGCGGCGGTGCCCGGAAAGATCCTCCTCCATGGTTCCCCTTTTTGTTGGAACCTTGGGAGCCATGACTCTCCCATTTTCTCTTTTTCGCCTCCTCGGCGTCTCTCTTCTTCCTCTCCTCCCACTGTTTCTCCCCCTTCAACGCTTGGTCAACCACTTGGGCGAAGGTCATATTAGGCAATTGTGTTGCCCTATCACGTATCTCCAAGTCAAGAGCATCCCAAAAGTGGTTTACCATTCGGTTCTCGTCACAAGCATACTCCGGTATGTAGTCGGCGAGATCCCGGAACTTGTACTCAAGTTCCTTCACTGTCATGTTACCTCCTTGGGTCAGGAGGGTGTATTCCCTCACCCTCTTGTTCACCTCAAAATCAGAATAATATTGGGCAAAGAACTCCCGTTGGAAGTCCTCCCAAACGACGGTCTCACCGTACTTGCTCTTGGTTCCATCCCACCACTTGGATGCCATCCCCTCGAGCAATCTTACCGCAATTCTCAGTTTGAGATTTGGCGCGATTTGCATGTCAAGGGCTGCTTCATTTAGCCTCTTAATCCATTGTGCTGCAACTGAAATGTCCCCTGCTCCATCAAAGGGTTTGCACCCCAAATCTCTTGCTTCTTTGATAAATTTGGAGATCCTTATGGTTGGACCTCCATCATTTTGGCCTCCATGTGGTTCCACATGGACTCTAGATGCACCACGACTTCCTCCTCTCGAAGCCATGCCCGAAGGTTGCCCCGCTCGCCGTCTTCGGCGTTGCCTCCTTTCCTCGCGCTCCCGTTGATATTGTTGGAGCAGCGCCTCAATCCTTGCTAGGGAGTCATTCTCCCCCTCTTCATCACTTACATCATCGTCATCCCCTTCGTAAGGGGTCTCAACCGGCTCAGTTTCCGGTTGGTAAGTCGAGTCCTCATAGGACCAGTAGGTTTCACTTTCTGTGTCCACATGACCGTCACTCACGGTCTGTGATCGGCCTCCACGGCCAGCTCCCCTAGATGCCCTAGAGGTCCTTCGACTGCCCTGTCCAGTCTCCACTGGTACACGGCCGGTCGGGTTTCTCCTAGTAATCCTGCCACCACGGTCCATTTCTGAAAGAATTTGGAAAGAGTCGTTAGACTCGTATCAAATGTCAATTGACGGATAGGTACTTAAGACACATTCTGGCTCGAGTCACCGCCATACCAATTGCTAAGGGTACCATCTTAACAATTAGAGACCTTGCAACCCAAGTACCAAAAGCTCTCCAAGTACAAAACTTCTATGCTCATGGTTTTTCAAAATCTTTCCAAAAAGAGAATTTTGAGACTTCATTATGAAGTTTATGGACTAAGGCTCTGATACCAACTTAATTGTCACGCCCCGGACCTCCCCGGACACGTCAACAACCCGCCGTACAATACGAATAGTCAACCGCAGTCCAACACATTCATATTATACAAGGCGTCATGAATATCATTCACACATAAGTCATCCATAAACAACATAATAAGTAATTCATAAAGCAGCGGAAAACATTGTTTAAAACAAAAGGGCCACACAGGGCTATTCATGAGCACGCAGGCTCTATAATAAAATATCCATGAGCATGTTTATTAATGTTTAAAATCCGAATGGAGGAAGCACGAACCAAGTCTTCGCTCCTAGATGATCTCTCGAGCAACGAGCACAGGAAGCAAGCTCTAGCCTCAACCTGAAAAATGGTGGTGGGACGCCCCCGAAGGGGTCAGCACTCTATACGGCTATAAAGTGCTGGTGTGGCAGGCATCTAATAGATATACAACAAGTATTTCAAACACAAGACCCTCAAATAGGGTGATAGTACATTATGATTGTAACCCAAAGTTACCCTGTTTAAAAATATACTTACCTTATATAAAAGTCAAGTAGACGGCCCGTGGGCCCATGTTCATTTAGAAATCACCATTCCCAACCCCGTGACTATAAGCCACGACAACTCCTAGAGTCCAACCCTAGTACATGACATTGTATTCTAGAGCTCGGCTCTACCACATCACCATACAATTCATATACCTCGGGTCAATTTCCCTACCTTGCGTTCTAGAGCTCGGCTCTATCACATCACCACGCAAGTCCTAGAGCTCGGCTCTAGCTATACAATACATAGACTCCAAGTCTACACCTTACATGCATTCTAGAGCTCGGCTCTATCACATCACCATGCGTTAAGGTCCAATTCTCAAGCAACCCTATGCCTAGAATTAACATATCATTAAACTACCATGGGTCATCCTTAAAGACTTCCCATAACTCAACCTTAGTTCCATACTAAGTATTATATACACTTGAACTATATTCAAGTACCTTTCATACAATCCAATCCCTAGGATCAATTTAATCAACAAGTCCCAATAATCACTAACTAGTATTTCAATACTATTAAGATTATTGTTATCATACCATTATCCTCATTATTTGTAATTCTCTACATATTTATAATTACGTAGCAGCAACTTAAGTATTTAATCTCAATACACAAATATTCATTTATGTATCCACATAATTCATACATGAGTAAAATACCCATTTTCACAAAATGGTTCTTTTATACTCATTTAATCTCATATTATTCATACCTTCTCAAATCATTTCAAATTTCATTCTTTGGCAACTATATCAATATTTCATCAATATATAATCATCATAATCCATGAAAAATCATGATTTAAGCATTTAGGTAATCTCATGCTTAACCTACAAGTTGTAAGCAATTAGATGTCAATCCTCACCTCAATTGAGCTTTAAACTTTCCCTTCTTGGTCCAATGGTCAAATCTTTGGTCAAGGTGGATTTGGGACTGATTCCTTGCTCAAATATGAGTGTTAAACAGCCTCCTCAAAGTGCTAGTTCAACCCTTAATCGTTGATACGAAAACAGCCCCTAGAACGGGTGTTTTCCGGCTAACTCGATTCCTAGTTTTCCAATATTTGCATCTAGGTTAGTATCTAACCTTTACATCAATAAGATAACTTTTTAGGGACATATTATACACTTGGATTAGTGTATAATAGTCTCACCAATCGTTCATATCATTTGGAGAATGAAAAGTAAAGCTTTGGGGTTAAAACTCACTTTAGAAGATTAAATCCTCTCCTGCGAGGTTGTGTTTTGCTCGGACGATTTGGAAGCCTTCCACAACTCCGATTCCTGCAAACCAGACCTTCACGGATTCCTCGTCTTGAGAGCTTTCTGTGGGTATCTCACACGCCTTAATTGGACTTGTAAAACTCGAGATATCGACCAAACAGTCTCAGCACTCTCACAGCTCGAGTTCACAGACCTTTGCTCGTTCCAGCTCGATTTTTGCAAGATAAGCCTTCTCTCCTCGAACAAAGACCACTCAATTGAGATAATAGACTTCAAAGGCTATCCAAGGACACCTCATACACGTTATTTGGTTGAGGATAGCTCCTATAATGAGAGGAGACAAACAGCACACCAATTTGTGCGAAAATAAGAGTGGTGGCCCCAAACTTTGATTCTTATCAAGTCATGTGCAGCTCTTCTCCATAATGGCCGGCCAAGGTAAGTCTCCTAGCCCATTTTTATTTGTTTTGCAGGTACTAATACCATGTGGAGTGGTTCCCAATTGATCCCATTAAATTTGGGGTCCAAAATATCTACCAATACTTCCAAAAATTGGGAAAATGGGTCCTATTGTTTTATCTTTGTCAAAGATGTCTTTTTGTACTCATCCTAATTTATTTAGAACAAGTCAACTTCCTAAATCACATTATTGATCTCCACTATGTGTAGGCTCATCCCAATAATTTACACGATGAAAATTACAAAAGAATGCGGGTTTGAACAATACAATATTCAATCATGTACTTCGTAAAATATTAATCGTTTCTCCCCTTGTTTTGAAATTGGGAATTCAATACATCACTTTTGAATTTTTAAATCGAATTTTCAAGGACGTTCGGGTGCGGTGTCACAGGTAGAGACTTAGCTGGTCTCAACTACTTGGACTTCTTACTACTGGGAGGGCTTGGAATCCCTTTTAGGGGTGTGCACACTTAAGGTAGAAGTTCAGTTTCCAATTGGTGGGTGGTGGGGTCCGGGTTTATCGGGCAGTTCATAGGTGACTTTAGTAGCTTATGCAACCGTCTGGGACACCTGGGTTGATGCGTGATAGTTGGTGACTGATAAGTCCGTATTTAGATACGCATTGGATGCGTGTTCGGGTCAGATTTTGATGATTTTCCTATTTTTAAGGCGTTGCAAGTCTCAATTTTGGCTCAAGTTGTGTTTATCAGGCGTTGGATTGAGTTGTGTTGCATTTGGAGTTGAAATGAAGAAGTTAGAGTCCGACAATCGGCGCTTGAGAAGCAATCAGGAAGGATTTGAAGGCGTTCAAGAGAGATTTGAGAGATTTGGAGGTCACTAGGAGATTCACGACGAAATTCTGATGCAGAAAGAGCATTTGGATCGACCTCGTAGGGCATCCGGGAGCATTTGGAGCAAGAAACGAAGAAAAATGTTGAAGAAAAGACCAGGCACGACCGTGCCTGGAAAAGGATGATGGCACAACAACATTCTGCCAGCCAGGCACGATCATGCCTGGCAGGGAGGCACGATCGTGCCTCCACCCGAGACGCGCGCTTGTTCCGCAGGCACGATCGTGCTTGGCGTCGTGCCTGGCCCCGTTTTGTCCTAATTCAGCTCAAATTCCACCCTTTTCTATAAATAAGGCCTCCCTTCTCCTATTTTGGGGTTACGAACTTTGTGGAGAGGCCTATGACGAGTTTTACCTGCGTTTTTACGTTCTTTACTTCGAGAACCTGAGATTCTTTGTAAGTTCAATTCTTTTAATTAATGACAATTTATTCTATTCATCCCAATTCTTTTGATTCGTCAATTATGAGGCGTGAGTAGTTTAATTAGGGATTTGGGGTTGATGAAGGGGTTAATCATGATGTATGACTAGATTCTTGTCGCTTTAATTGCATGAATGCCGTTTAATTTGTGTTTGAATAATTTAACTGATATCTCTTGTAACCTAGAATCGCGACTAGAATTACAATTGCATGTAGAATGAATTAAGAGAGATATAATTTATTCTAGGACACATTCACACACACTTAATCGTTCGCTAAGAGATTAGTAGCGATTAAGGGGCCGTAAGCTCGCTCGTTTTGGCAATAATTTAGGATCCTGTCGCATGAGAGATCAGCCTGGTCCCCTAAATTATTGTACTCTACACCGCGAGAGTGGTAAGAACTTAGTAATGATTAGCTAGGCTCAATTAAATTAAATTCATGTAATTAGGCCTGTTCTGCCAGAAATCTGGTTACCCCGGAATCAATCCCCGTTCCCTTCGTCGTTAATTAATAAGAAAACCACATTTATTTTAATCGCTCATCTGCATTAGTTTTAATTTTAACTCAACCAATCAATCTCGCACATCGCATTTTAATTTATTTATTTTTTGTTTAATCGGTAAATTTAGTTGATTCTTAATTCCCCTTTGTCCGTCCCTGTGGAGACGATACTCGTACTTTTAACCACTTTTCTACAACAATTTTAAGTGCGAGAAAAGACACATCAGTGACCACGTATTCGCTTGGTCCGGGTTCCCTTTTTGGGAGCTTCCACATCCTTAAAAGAATCTAGAAACATATAGGGGATATGAGTTTGGTGGATGAAAATCATGTATGAGTTCGAAAAGAAGTATTTAAACGTGGTTTTGTGTGAAACCATCCTTGATACTTAAGCTATTTAATTATAAAAACATTTCATTTTACCTCATTGATTTTTGGACTTGTATGTATGTATCAAAAACTACTTTCTCAAACTATATTATTTTACGGGGTTGAGTGGGTCTTACTTAGCTAAAAAGCTAACTTTTATTTTCTTGCATTGCTTTCTTTTCTGCACTTAATTTGGTGCAGGGGATGAAGAGTATGCTTGATGAAGAGAGCCCCGATATATCACCTAGATTAGTTACTAGTTACTCCCTCCGTCCCATTTTACCTGTCCTACTTTCCTTTTTGGGTTGTCCCAAAATAAGTGTCTTCTTTCCTTTTTTGGAAAGAAATATGTGGCCTACACAATTTCACTTTATCATACTCAAACCCCAACCACAACTTTTACTTTTTCAATCACTTCATTAATAACCGTGCCAAGTCAAACTAAGACACATAAAATGGGACGTAGGTAGTATATTTAATAAATATGAAATTTCAGAACTTGTTATTGTTCTACTTGATTCTGTTTTGAACTTCGTACTCGTGTTTATTGTTGGATTGTGGTTTATCCTGTGCATTCGGTTACGTGAGAACCGAGTGTGGCGGTAACACCCATTGAATACTAAGCTTTAGCTGCAATTTAAACTATTTTGGATTAAATGTTTTGGGTAATTCTTTCTATTCTTGCTATAATTAGGCTCTATTTTGGGTATGAATTTGGGGGTGTTACAACAATAGTTTCGCTGGATGACCAAGCGTCGGGGCCCAATTTCCTGGGCAGAATTTGTGAGGTCCTTGCGAGTGCGCTTTGGGCCAACTGAATACGAAGATCCATCTTGGGCTCTTTCTCATCTCAAACAAACCACTACACTTGCTGCTTACCAGGAATCTTTTGAGCAACTTAGCCACCAGATAGATGATTTCCCTGAACCATTTGTGATCGGTTGTTTCGTCAACGGACTCAAGGATGAAATTCGGCTAAAACTCAAGACCAAAAAACCATGAACCTTGGAGAATGCTTTTGGCCTTGCACGACTGATAGAAGAAAAATGGCAACTGAGTACCTGGAATTCCAATCGTTCTAGTGTTGCCAAGCCTAGCCCCACCGTAGGAATACTGAGTCCACCACTGAAACAAGAACCAAACAAAACTCCTACCGCCATCAAGTGATTACCGTGGGATGAAATGCAACGTAGACAGCAACTCGGCCTCCGTTTTAGTGCAGTGAACCATTAACTCTGAGAAATCGTTGTAAACAACCACAACTCCTTTTGTTGGATGGTGGGGAAGCAACACCCGAGGATGAGGAAGTTCTGCCTGAGGACAGCCCACCAGAAATTTCTGTACATGCCTTAACAGACCAAACATTGGACGCCTTAAGGCTACTATTGGACAAAAGGAATTAATTATTATTGTTGACAGTGGCTCCACACACAATTTTATTCAAGATAAGTTGGCTAAAACTCTAGAACTACCATTCTCCCCCATGCAACCATTTCACGTGAGAGTTGCCAATGGGGCTCCTTTTAAATGTTGGGGTCGTTTTGACAGGGTGCCACTACACATACAATTCCAAGATGTCAAGTTTGAGGTGACGTTCTTTTACATACCTTTGGTGGGCGTAGATGCAGTTCTGGGCATTCAATGGTTGGAGCAACTCGGTGTCGTGGTTAATGATTGGAAGAACAAAACCATGTCTTTCACATGGAATCAACAAGCACTCATTGTGAGGGGAATTAGCAACCACAGACCACAATTATTGTTGATGCACAGTGATGAGCTACTCAAGGGAGACCTCTACTTTCTTTTGAGCATTGTGTTCCCAGAGTGGGGTGGAAAAATCGCTACGGATATGTGGAGTTTAATAGAGGAGCATGCTGATTTATTTCAGGAACCTACGCAGTTGCCTCCCGAATGCAATATAGAGCACCAGATTACACTCAAGGAGACATGGGACCGGTTAACGTACGACCATATCGATATGCTCACTATCAGAAAATGAGATTGAGGAGCACGTCAAGGAAATGCTTAACCGAGGTATCATTCGCCCCAGCACCAGTCCATATTCGTCCCCAGTTTTACTAGTAAAAAAGATGGGTCATGGCAATGTTGCACCGATTTTAGAGCACTAAATGCCTGCACTATAAAAGGCCGCTTCTTGATACCCACCATTGAGGATACATTGGATGAACTACATGGCACCAAATATTTTACTTGCCTTGACCTGCGTTCTGGCTACCACCAAGTACACATGTTTTCCAAAGATATAGAGAAAACAACTTTTTAGACCCACAATGGTCATTATGAATAAGGTCATGCCGTTTGGCTTATGTATTTCACCCTCCACCTTCCAAGATCTAATGAATGATGTGTTTTGGCCGTATTTGAGCAAATTCATTCTGGTTTTCTTTGAAGACATTTTGTATACACCCCAACATGGACAACTCATTTGGAAAATGTTAAGACTTGTTGAAGAAAGGGAGGTTTGTGTGGTCTCCACAAGCAACGGCTGCATTCCAGTATCTTAAACGAGCCATGACCTCCACTCCCACATTGGTTATGCCTCATTTCAACAGCCCTTTATGGTTGAAACATATGCATGCAACCACGACATTAGCGTTGTATTAACACAAAACAGTCATCCCATCGCCTCCATGAGCAAAGCATTAGGTGTCAACAAGCTCTCATGGTCTATCTATGCCAAGGAGATGCTCGTCATCCTCCATGTGGCCCGCCTTTGGTGACCTTATTTACTAGGTCGTCGTTTTTATATCATTACTGATCAAAAGAGTTTGAAAAACCTCATACAACAACGCATTGGGACTCCAAAGCAGCAACAATGGGTGGCAAAACTTCAGGGGTATGACAATGCCTCCATGAGGAGCAACCGAGCTTGCTCTCTGTCACTATGACCCACACAACTATTTGGGATGACATTGTAGTGGAACATCGAAACCACCCCGACATGTTAGCATTTAAACAACAAGATGAACATAATCCCAGTGGTCCATATAAGATACGTAACGGTCTGGTCCAATATAAAGGCCGGGTTGCTTTGTCTCCAAATTCCAAGTTCATCCCCCAACTGTTACAGGAGTATCATGGCACACCAACTGGCAGCCATTCTGGGGTTCTTCGTACGTACGAACGCCTATCAGGTAGCTTTTACTGGCCACAAGTGCGTCGTTCCATTGAACAATTTGTGGCAACATGTGATGTCTGCCAGAGGACTAAAAGTTTGTCCCTTCAAACAGCCGAGCTACTTCAACCGCTACCCATTCCTGAGCAAGTTTGGGAGGATGTTTCCATGGACTTCATTGACGGTCTGCCCACGTCGCAAGGCAAGTCCACCATTTTAGTGATTGTTGATCGCTTAAGAAAGTACACCCATTTTCTTGCTCTTTGGCATTCGTATACTGCTAAAGCGTAGCAGGGGTCTTCCTGGATGGGGTAGTCAAACATCACGAGATTCTGAAATAAATTGTTTTTTATCGCGACCCGGTCTTTACGAGTCAGTTTTGGACTTCCTTGTTCACTGCTTTGGGGACCACTCTCAAGTCTACTACTAATCACCCTCAAACAGACGGCCAGATGGAAGTTGTCAATAAATGTCTAGAACAATATATGCGGTGCTTTGTTCATGGCCATCCGCAAAGATGGACTACCTTCTTGCCCTGGGAAAAGTTTTGGTACCACACGACTTTTCATTGTTCTACCGGGATGGCCCCGTTCTATGCACTCTATGGGCGACATCCTCCTCCCATTCCCCGCTATTCCGGGGGTTCTTCTACCGTCGAGGCCGTTGATCAATGTTTATTGGGCTGCGACCAGATCCTATCTCAGTTCCGCATGACTTTGGCAGTGTCCATTAATCGCATGAAGCAGATGGCAGACAAGGGTCATCGGGATGTTACGTTTCAGGTGGGTGATAAGGTCTATTTAAAGTTAAGACCTTACCAGCAGCATTCTGTGTTTCGCGGGCCTTCTCAGAGATTGAGTGCTATTTATTATGGGCCCTACACCATCTCTGCCAAGGCGGGACCCGACGCTTATCGCCTTGACTTCCCACTGCATTCCAAGATTCACCCCATTTTTCATGTGTCGGTCTTGCGCAAACATATGAGGAGAGCCCATGTTCATCAAACCTGCCTCCTACACTCACTATGATGGGGGATCTACCACAACCAGAACCCGGATTAGGGAGACACATTCTTTCTTCTGGACGTGTCCCATGCGCTCAGGTTCTCATCAAATGGCGCCATCTACCATTAGAGGATGCTACATGGGAAGACGATGCTCTAATGCGCCAACAGTTTCTAGATTTTGCCCTTCAGGACAAGGCCGATGTTTCGGGTGGGGGTGGGGGTAATGATAGGGCCATTGGACGTACAAGGAGGGCCAACCCACGTTACTTGGATCCAGATACATTTATCAACCAATTATCTCTTTGGATGGCCCAAGAAGAGTAGAACATGCAGGAGACTTATTATCATTTTCTAATATTAGTATTACCTTATTATTTGGAGCAGTTGTTTTACTTGTTTACAGTTTTAGGTGATTGCTTTGTGGGATACAAACCACTCAGCATGTAGGAGTAAACTTCCTTATGTATTTTCAATATTAAATAGTTTGGCATGAATGTAATGAAGGCATAAAAAAATATACAGATCATCTTCTTTCTGACCATTCTATTTTCTTTCTGAAACTTGCTTCTTATTCAGTGATCTTGGGATTATTAGATACCATTGCATTGAAGGAGGCTACGCCACTCGTGATATTTCTATGATATCAGTTGAGGAAACAAATTGTAATAGTGGGATTACAATAGAGGTGTCGTTGATTCATTTCCTACTCACATCCTGAGTTTGGATTCTATCTAAGACTCTTTGGCATCTTAATCCACGCCGATTAGGAGGCTTTTAACAGATAAATAGTTGTCTTACCCTTTGAAAAACCTTATTAATTGTGGTCATTTCTCCTTATTTGTGGCGGTTTTAAGGAGCATAAGATAGGATCATAGGAATAATGAATATTATTTGTTGCGGTTCTACAAAACCACATGTTTTTTGCTTTCTTTGAACTTGCCTCCTGCGAGTTTCACACGTGTAACATCAACTCATGTTGCTCCGCGCACAAACCTTATATCTACTTCCACACCTCTAACTCGCTAAGCATTGAAGTTGTTAGTCCATTTATGTTACATATGGTATATAAACTTAAAAAACGTACATATTGTGAATAAAGTAGTTTTTTATTGGCAGCTTCTTTTTTAAATTTTTATACAGTGGCGGATTTATGTTTTAAGTTTTTGGTGTTCATTTTTTTTGAACAATTAAAATTTGGAAGAGCGATAATTAATTAAATTAAATTTATACATGTATGCTAATACGTTTTTCAAAATTTTAGGTATTCAATTGAACACCCTTCAACTATAGTGGCCCCGCCACTGTTTTTATAGTCAATAATAAGTGTAATACTACAATATACTTCCTCTGTCCCATAAAACTTTATCAATTTCTTTTTTTTTGTCGCCCCAAATGTTGCTTTCAATCCTATTAAAGTAATAAATGTGTGGTTAAATTTATTTTTCTCATATCTACGCAAATTTTTAATCACACAATTCTCACTTTATTACTTCACAATCAAGTAAAAAACAACCAAATTTTATGAGATGAAGAGAGTATTATTTATGCAGCATTTACATTTTTGCTACTTTAAGAAATCTTCTGTGATTGAACACCTAAATACGAAATAAAATATACTTGGGGGGGTAGGTGAATAGACTTTTAAATCTTTTCATTTTTCAACCATTTTTCTCAAACAAAATGAGTTTCAATATCTTTTGGGAGATATTGATACCTACAACGGAAGTCTTGACCTCAAGAGTGTGACACTTCATAGTAACAAAGGTTATGACCCTTTTAGTTGTGAAGAAATGGATGAAACAACGTGCAAATGTGTTTGCCCGATTTAGATGACTCAAGGAGCAGGCTGTCAGAACCTGAATGAGCAGGCTGCCAGATTACTGGGAGCTGGCTACTGAAATGTTCAGGAGCAGGCTGCCGAATGAGGCTACTGCTTCAATGGTAAAGATATAGTAAGGAACCACTCTAACACATTGATAGGCTTTTAGAAAAGGCTTAACACATAAGTATGAAGGAATTAGACCTATGGAAATAGATCACTTTGATGAACAGAAACAAGGAGTTTGATTCACAGTGAACTGGAAAGTTCACTGGACAGTTTTTGTTAGCAAGTTGTTTTGCTGGGAAGTTGTGAAGGTGAGTGAGAACTGTAATGTGTATTGGGAGCTGAATATAAAAGGTGACACAAGATATATCCTGGTTCAGAGGTGGGGTAATCCTCCTACATCCGGTCTCAACCTATTTCAGATGGATTTCCACCAAATGAATATCCCATTACGTTTAGTGCCTGATGGAGTAATGGGACTAGGCCCAGAGCCTAATTGGCCCAAGCCCCGAACTTGGACCCGTGGATCCAAGTCCACAACCTGGAGCCTACCTACCACCCCGGCGGGGAGCCTGCCAGTCCGGCCGACCTGCCAGCAAGGAAAAGTAACGAACAAGCAAGTAATGCGTTGTTTAATTATTTATTTAAATCCGTATTAATGTTGTAATTAATTAGTCATTATTATCGATAGCGGTTACGATTTGTAAACACCTATAAAAGCTGCGCTGTAATTCAAATTATGGGACGAATTTCTACACGCTACTTTCTGGCAACTAAACCTCCTAGCTACTTTTCATATTCGTTCTTACTTTCTAATTCCTGCTTGAGTGTTCTTACGTAGCTTTTCTAAAAGCCTACGAGCGTCCTATTTTAAACAACATTGGTGCTTTCATTGAGAGCCTATAGTCTCTCCCGTCACTTTGGTAGGAATCAACCAAGAATTTCAGAAAAAATGGCAGGTTGCTAGCAGTTTTGTTTTCCAGGTTTGTAATCCAAAATCTGGAAACTCATTGAAAAAATCCAGCCAGGTAATGGAATGGCCGTTTGGGTCTAAGCCAGTGACCAGCCTCCACACAGGAAGCCCCCAAGCAGTCAATCAACTTTGTATGAGGGTTTCCGCCTGCCTGCAGAGAACTGTCCAATCTGGAGAAAGACATACGAGAACCAAGCATGAGTCCTGCTGCGGAAGGAAATAAGCTGTGGAATCTGGAATTCCAGAACAGAACCAGCAGTCACCGGAGCAATCGTCATCCCCGACATGGATCCGCCGGCCCTGGAAGCTTTCGCTTCCGCCGCTGCCAGGTGATGTTCGCAGTGGCTCTACCACTTCGCCGATCGCGTCACATCTCTCCACCTCCGTCGGAGACTCGGAGCACACCCGCCGGTCACAGCTTGTCTCTCTGCTGGCATCACAGTCTCCCATAACCTGGTGAGCTTCCGCCATTAATGGCCGCTTGAGAGCTTTACCCAAGATGCAAGCAACAGCAGTATCGAGGGTCTCTGCTCCTCTCCCTAGCGACGTAGAGCCTAAGGCGGATCGACGGAGCATTTTACCCCACCTCTCTTCGTCGACACCAGTTAGAGGCCGCCCGCCGACGGTCGCTCGTTGTCTCTCTAATTGACTCTCGATTTCCTGAGATTGAAATGTGCGCTGACTGGATTTGGATCGAGCTCTCGCTGCTTAACTTTGGACATTGGAGGATTTTGACCAAGTCAAAATTGATATGGGGATTCCAAATCTGACTTCCCAAAAAAGCCGGATGGCTGAGCCTCTTTTTTGAAAGATAAGCACCCTTGGAATCTCTTCTATATAATTACATATTAAAATAATTAAGTGGTATAGTTGCTCTTACTATTGTTAAGTGTGTGTAATTTTAACATTGAATAACGGACTTATGAAATCTGATCACTCAAGGACGCCGGACGAGCACACACACTCGTACACTGGCCGAGCATACACACTCGCGCCACCGAGTCACCTCTTATGAGCGTGACGATTAATCACTACGCCAAAAATGAGCTTTTTCAACATACCAAAACAGTCGAAAAAGAGCATTTTCGACTATTTTGATCAGTCAATTTGAGTGTCGAAAAAAAAGAGTCAAAAAAAATTTCGACTGACTTCACTTGTTGATATCAGATTTTGAATAACGACTACTTTAAACTGTCGTAGTTTAACGACATTAAATATTAGTCGAAAATGATTTGTAGTGTATAATATGGTACTGTATATATTAGTTGTATTAACATGTATTCAATTTTTATTTACTATGTACATCAAATTTTTTTAAACAAAGATGTATTTCTCGTATGCACACCAATAACACACAATTATAATAGATTGCAAGAGCAAAATAAAGTCACAATTGTCATTCATCTATGAAACTCAATTAAAAAGAACCCATGTCTAAAATCTTTTTACATTAAGTATGTATCATTGAGTCATTGACACAGATGGTCAACATTCTAACAAACTAAAAGATTAACAACAATATAATAGCAATGAAATTAGTTGATCCTGGCAAGGTCAACAATCTTTTTTGACAAATCGATGAGTTCACCAACCAATTGTCTTCAAACTTCTCATCTCTTCCATATAGGTACTCACTCCCAACAAAAATCCCATCAATAATGTTACTATAGGCTTCATCCGGTGAAACTCGATCCCACATCTAAGCGTCCAAAAGAACTGACCCTTTCTCAAGTTCTTTTAAAAACAAGTGTTTGCTAGGCCATCCCTGTATGATCATTTATAAAATTTATTAGTAATAAATATTAATAAATAAATTGAACAATTTGTTATAAATTAGTTCAAACACAAGAACTAATCAATACTGTTCACACAATGCAGCATCCACCACTGATAAATTTATAAAAGCTTATCAAAACAACAATGAATTCAAATCAATGATTACAGATAGCATATTCAGTCACCAAGAGGAACAAAAGTTAAAGAAAAAAAACTTGGATAATGTTTAGGACTATTAGAAACATAATTGTTCCTGAAAGCTGTATAAGAAAACATTTGCAATTTATTTAGAATAGAATGTTGCTATACTGATGAGCTAGAACAAATAGAACAACAAAGCCATGAAGAGTGGTTTACCTGAAAAATATCAAGAACCTCTTATCCAAGACCTGTGCAAACTTTCCAACTATAGTAAAAAATCTCTCTGCTCCATGACCAACATGTGTCAAAATTCATTGAACAAGACCAACAGGCTGCCAAAAGAATCCAAATTTTTAGTAATTAAAATATACAAAATATTAAACGAAGTCATTGTGTAAAGGAACTATTACCTGATTCATCAGATGTGTTTTTATCACTCCCACTGCAATGTGCATCATTCGATTGATCCTGAAGAAACTCATCATCCGCGGACTGGTTTTCACCATCTAACATATTAAAACTATAAAAGGTACAACATAATAAATCACATAGTGATTTGAAACAAAATAAATCCATAGATAGTATTTCTAATTCTAGAAACGTATATGTTAATCTTTATCAGGTCCAGAATTTTCAGCAAGAATTAGGTTGGTCAATGAATTGTTGCATGTTGTTTCTGTAAAAATAAAAGGATCTTGATAAGCATCCACATGATGACTCAATCCTTTTGGAGATTCTAGAACCAAGTGCCAAGAATCCCTTGTTTCATCCTTGCAAGAATCCCACTGTACCCAATTGGAACCTTCAACTTACTCAATGTCTTACAAATTAATTCTAGGCTTCCCTTTTTTAGTGAGAAAAGATGTTATCTGCATTTTTTTATTCAGTTTAGATTGAGGTGACAAGATATTTCTTACAAGTTTCAACCCCAATAAATTAGAATTGTGTGTATTATGGGTTGCTGATAAATGTTGTTGGATTGAGATGAAATTTGCTTCCATGCGCTGATGCGCAGCAGCCATGTCGCAGACCGCGGGTGGGCGGTTGTGACATCGTGAAGAGAAAATGAATCTTAATAAGAATATTTGGTCCATATTAAGATGTCGCTAGTTTGTTAGTGTATTTTTTATCATAGTTGGTTAGTGTCTTAAATGATCCAAAAAGTTACTTGTAATGTCCTTTTTGGTTAAAAAAGTAGCCTAGTGTCAAAATTAAGATTTGATAATGACCTTAATGTCCAATTTGGTCTATATCCCATAAAAAAAAACAAAGAGAATAGTGTCCACGATATTAGGAAAAGTAGTAATATTTCCTTAAGCGGAGCCTATAGTCTTTCCACACATGATGCTACCTATGTGTGATTAAAAAAGTATAACGAACTTTTCCTACATATAATCATCTTTTATGCTGAAACTATTTGATGAAAGTTACAGGAAGGTCTCAAATCTTTTAAGTGTATCAAGAACACATGCACTACCATTTATCAATGATAATAACTCAAGTATTTTACTTACATATAATAAGAAATTAGAGAAGTATGAGGTTTATTGACCAATTTACATATCACGATAAAAAAATGTTGGAGTGTAAAGTTATAAATAATAATCTTTTTCTAGTGGGGGTGATCCGTTATCTGTTTTTACAACTATTTCAAACTTCTTTTATAAGTGAGTAGATGTTGGATACCACTTTCATCACACCAGTTTTTTGAGATGAAGAAGTGACACATATATTATAATTACATGGCCCCAGCTAAAAAGAACTAATCCTGGAGACATGGAATTGTAAGAATGGAAAAAACAAAATGAAAAGGGGTGATTTTTCTTTCTAAAAGTGGGCACTTGGTGTGGCTGCTTTCTAAAAGAAGGCAGTGGGCAGTCATATTGTGCCAAATTGATACAGAAATCCCACATCATTCCTAACAATAGACGTACTTCAGTTTTACTAGATTTTAGGTGGACTGGGAAAAATATTCAACAGTATAAATTTGTATATAAAATTTGATATATTAGAAAAATGAAGTTTATCAAGTATTAGCCTTTCATGTCTATACTTTTGTTCTTAGATTTGTTCAGTAAGACACTCAAAATCAAGAAAATAATTTTATTCATCACCCCCTTCACAAGACTTTAGGTAATTTTATCAAACAGGTAGAGGGCATAATCGAAATCACAGACTACCTACAATAATCAAAGAATCATGCTGGTTGAGTTTGAAGATACTGAACTAAACATTGCAGACTTAAATCTAAAATCTAATATTTTGTGTTTGAACTTGTGTAGCACGGAAAAATGGTATCTCCATGTATTAGATCCGAACAAGAATAAAAACAAGGAACACCTAGATTATAAGTAAAAGCTCTCATACCTGGCTCTGTTATACCCTCGTTGTTCTCGTTTCTCGTACTCAGATATGAGATCACAGACAAGCCAAGGCTCGACTGGAATAGCACTGCAGCACGACTACGACACTCCCAGAGTCCCAGTGGATTATGGTTGACAGGGTACGAAGTAAAAGGTCCCGGACATGGCCTCTAGCTTCGCCTTTGGTTCAGTTATATTCTGCTTGTTCTCATCTCGATCTGTTTTGCAAGGATGAACTGAATTTTAGCAGCGCGCAGAGATGTGAATTTTGTGTTTCCCCTCGTTGTAACACCACAATTTTAGGTTTATCAAAAATTGAGTTGTGAGCGGGACTTCAGTTTGGCCCGTCAAAAAAAGAGCGCTGCTTTTATCCGCAGGTGTAATGAAAGTAGGAGCACTTCGACTGATTTTTTGAGTCAAAAACGAATTGATGGTTTTTATTAGTCGAAATTGAAAAAGTAAAAGTGTCAAAAATATCCAGTTTTGGCGTAGTGAATAAACTCTAATATAAATGTTAATACCGCACACTCTTGACTTCATACGAGGTTTTGCGTGCTCTTACCTTTTCCTAGTGCATCACACTCCGACCTCGGGGGACGAGTCACCCGTTCAAAAGTTTTTACTTGCGGGTTCGAACTACTAACCTCGGGCGGCGAGTTAAACTCTTGTTAGGGGCCTAGAGCCACGCTCTTCCGAGCAATTTTTTCACTTAATTGACATTCACATTTTCTGAAAAGGTTGATATACTTTAGTTCTGTGGGGTTGGATTATCCGTTCGAATGGTGACTCCGAGTCACTTACTCGCGGATTCAATCTTCTTTTTGGAGACTAGGTTGAGGCCTAACTTGGGAACTTGATGTCACTCTTTTCGAGTAGTGAGTCCGACTCACTTACTCACTGAACGTGGTTTGACACCAGACCAAATGCTCTATTCTACACCTGTTGCTTTTATGTGTAGGTACGAGTAAACGAAGGCGAGCCTGATGAGTTCGATCCCGATGAGAAGAACAGTTCTAGTCACCCTCTTCGCAGATGGCGACCATTGCAATAAAGGCTGAGGATTTCACCTCTTGTTTCATCTTGGGGGCGTCTGGTGTACTCTTTTTCCCTTCATTAGGAATTTTTCCCATTTGGTTTTTACCTGATGAAAGTTTTTAATGAGGCATCTCCCCGGCATGGACAAGGGCGTAGATCTTCCAGTCTCGGAGAAGAGCAACTGACTTGGATTACTCCCTCTTAGCCGAGTCTACTACTCGACTAAGGGAGTGGGGGACTCGTGATGGAGTAATGGGACTAGGCCTAAAGCCTAATCGGCCCAAGCCCCGAACTTGGACCCGTGGATCCAAGTCCACAACCTGGAGCCTGCCTACCACCCCAGCGGGGAGCCTGCCAGTCCGGCCGACCTGTTAGCCAGGAAAAGTAACGGACAAACAATTAATGTGTTGTTTAATTATTTATTTAAATCCGTATTAATGTTGTAATTAATTAGTCATTATTATCGATAGAGGTTACGATTTGTAAACGCCTATAAAAGCCGCGCTGTAATTCAGATTATGGGACGAATTTCTACACGCTACTTTCTGGCAACTAAACCTCCTAGCTATTTTCCATATTCATTCTTACTTTCTGATTCGTGCTTGAGTGTTCTTACGTAGCTTTCCTAAAAGCCTACGAGCGTCCACAGTGCCCAATCTATCCTTGGCACAGACGTAGATTGTGAGGTTTTTCACAAGGAATTTGTACACCATTCCAAACTACTCAGTCCTCCAAGGTTTTTCACTAATGACATTGACTTTCCAAAAGCTACTCATGTCCTCGCCCTTCTCACCTTCTAGAATTGAACACAAAGCCCTCCAGAATGTTTAACACTAATCTAGTTTACATGGGTGAAAACTAAACTACCAACTAATCTAAGCTCTATATATTTGTATGAATTTGAGTTAGTCTAAGAGCATTAGATGAGTGGGGTGAGAACCAAAGTGGTGAAGGGGAATCAGCTTGCTGGATGTGTTCGTGTGAATCTTGATTCCCTTTTATTCCACATGGCTCTTCCACTTGTTCATCTCGCACTCCTTCTGTATTTATAGACTTGTTGTTGAATCTCCACCGTTGGTTGAGGAGCTCAATCTTGATCGTTGCTTGATCTACTTACATTGTTCCACTTGATTGTAGGAGAGCATGGTTTGTTCTTGTCTTCTTGTGAAACGGACCAAATCCTCACTCAACTTGTTTCCCCATCTCATGGCAAAGATAAAAGATTTTTTTGTCTTTATTTCTTTTGCTCGTAGAAATTTAGTATATAAGCTAAGTGTTGTTCAGTGCTTCCTTACAATTAAAGTTACTTGCTTTTAGTAAAATAATTTATACGAAATTTACAATGTGGTAAAAACTTCTTATAAAATTACTTTCTATCTTTTTGTCATTTTGACTATAAGTTGGTCTTTTTGTTTAATGGTTTTTTGTGCTAAGAGAAGTATTAGTCAATTTCGGTTTCCTTGTCTGGAAAACAAGATTAGGAGCCAACTGCTTTTTTTTCAGCAGGCTACTGATTCTTTTTTTTTTTTAGATGACTGCCGATTTCCTAAAAAGGGTTTCAGTTGACTCTTTTCATAACTTTTTTTTATTCTTTTTTTTGGTACTTTTCTTCTCTTTTGAATACTCTTTGTTTTTCTTGAGTACTTTATCACTAAATACAGTAGCACATTACAAAAAACAAAGTAGAACAAATACTAGAGAATCTAGTCTAATACAGGGATAAATAAAAAGAGGTTTGACATCATCAAAAATAAATATATTAATCATCAAAATAAGGGGACTTAACAAGAAATATAGAAGATGCTTTATTTTTGACCTTTTGAACTAACAATGTTGCACAGATCTTGCATATATAGGTAGTTTTAACAAAGGATGTGTGTATCTTAGACTTAGTTGACTTTAAGCTATATTACTTATCATTCTATTCATTCTAGTGAAAGAGAGGTACCTGTTTACTGATGTGTATATGCATTCAATACTACTCTAATAGATCATTCTGCTTCTTTACCGCATTTAACATTACTGTTCAAGCATTTATTCCGCTGCTGTGATTATTTGATTTGATACATCTTTCAATTGGTATTAGAGCCAAGTAGCCAACCAAGCTACAAGTTAGACAAGTCCGCGTGTTTATGGACTGCAAGTTCTTTATCACATACTTCGTAGTTTTTAGTAAAACTTTGTACTTTCAAAACTTTCTATTCATGCAATATTATTGTGTTAGAGGTGTGTGAAATTTATTTTAGGCTATTTTGATCAAGTATACGCAGTAAGTGTGAAACAATAATTGTGGAAATAATGGCTTGCCCCATGAGGGAGCCCTAGCATTGTATTTATAATGATAATATTAAGAGTAATTACACATAAGTCCTTATAATTACACTATTACACCCCCTCAATCTGTGCAGTGGAAATCACGTGCAGATTGGAACGTAAAAATTCAAAACGCTGACTAGATAAATTTTTAGTGAATGTCAGCTAACTGATACTGAGTAGGGACATATTTGACTGTCAAGTCACCATGTGCCACACGTTCTCGAACAAAATGGTAGTCAATCTTGATATGCTTGCTGCGGTCATGCTGAATCAGATTAACTGCAAGATAGGAGGCGGAAACATTATCGCAAAATAACTGAACAGGTGCGGTGATGCGTATGCCCATATCGACTAATAGGGACCGAATAAATAAAGTGTCTTGGACTGTGTATGCCACTGCTCTGTATTCGGCCTCTGTAGAGGATTTGGACACGGTAGGGTGCTTCTTAGATCTCCATGAAATAAGATTACCGCCAATGAACACGACATATAACCTGTAGTGGAACGACAGGAATCCGGACAACCAACCCAATCAGCATCAGAATATGCCACAATAACAGAAATGCTTTGTCCAGTTCGAAGCCAAAGACCATGAGACAAGGTGCCCTGCAAATATCTGTAAATTCTCTTGACAGCAGCAAGGTGAGTAGCTATGTAGCACCGATACCGGTACGCGGAAACGCGGAAACGCGGAAACGGGTACGGGGATACGTCAAAACAAAAAAAAGTAGGATACGGATACGGGGCCATATTTATAAATATTAAAAGTTATGGGGGTGTATTTACAAATATTAAAAGTTATAGGGGTCTATTTATAAATATTAAAAATAGATTTTTTTTGAATATATATATACACACACACACACACATATAATATCCTATGATGTCTACCCATTCATTGCATTGAAGCATTTTCCATTTTTAAGATACTTAGTAATAAATTCATGATATTTCTCATATACACTAGTGTATCTCGAAATATAAATATAGTCCATAAGTCATTAATTTAAAATGTGAAATAAGTCAAACAACTACAATCTTGAAATTAAAAGTGCAAGTACCCACTTCGGAGTACGAGTTAATGACTTAATTCGGATATAGCCATATAGGCCCATTATATGATTACCAAGTAAAATGTAGTTTTAGATTTTCATTTTTTTTTTTGGAATTTTATTAAGTAAATTTTGGGATTTTTTTTTTTAGAAAATGGTTGATACGGGTATCCGTCAGGATACGAGTATCGGAAACTTTCAAAAAATTACAAAAAAAATGGAAACTTTTAAAAATTGCAGATACGGCCCAGGAACGTACGGTACGGGTATCCTAGAGTATCGGATACGGGAACGTATCCGATACGCCGATACGCTACCCTAGGGAAGTATCCGTGCTTCATAGGTGAGTAGTACGTGGAGCATGCATAAACTGGGAAACATAATGTACGACATAAGTAATATCAGGTCGCGTAATAGTGAGATATTGTAATGCACCTACCATACTGCGATACTCAGTACCATCATTAAGAAGATCTCCATATGTGAGAGACAGGGTAGTGCGAGAAGGAAGATGTGTTTTGACCGGTTTGACTGTGTGAAGGTGGAAACGATGCAAAAGGTCAGACACATATTTTTGCTGAGAGAGGAACATACCTTTGGATGTACGCCTGGCCTGGATGCCCAAAAAATAATGAATGTCCCCCAGACCTTTCATTGCAAACTGGCTGGATAATAATTTAATAAAATGAGCAACCAGAGAGAAGGAATTACCAGTAATGAGAATATCATCCACATACAGAAGAATATAAAGAACACTGGACTGGGAGTGATAAGTAAACATAGATGAATCAGACTGACTCTGAGAAAATCCTTGAGAGAGCAAGAAACCACTAAAACGATGAAACCAAGCTCTCGGAGCTTGTTTCAATCCATATAGAGCCTTACGAAGACGAAAAATATGAGAGGGATAAGTAGGATGAATGAAAC